TAAGATGGGGTTGTAAGAGAAGTAAATGCGAGGGTCTTGGCAAGAGGCGTGGAGTTAAAAGATAAAGAATCACACACAAAGTGGGAGTTGTCACAGCTGCTCTTTGCTGATGACACTGTGCTCTTGGGAGATTCTGAAGAGAAGTTGCAGAGATTGGTGGATGAATTTGGTAGGGTGTGCAAAAGAAGAAAATTTAAAAAGGTGAATACAGGAAGAGTAAGGTTATGAGGATAACAAAAAGATTAGGTGATGAAAGATTGAATATCAGATTGGAGGGAGAGAGTATGGAGGAGGTGAACGTATTCAGATATTTGGGAGTGGACGTGTCAGCGGATGGGTCTATGAAAATGAGGTGAATCATAGAATTGATGAGGGAAAAAGAGTGAGTGGTGCACTTAGGATCTGTGGAGACAAAGAACTTTGTCCTTGGAGGCAAAGGGGGGAAATGTATGAGAGTATAGTTTTACCAACGCTCTTATATGGGTGTGAAGCGTGGTGATGAATGTTGCAGCGAGGAGAAGGCTGGAGGCAGTGGAGATGTCATGTCTGAGGGCAATGTGTGGTGTGAATATAATGCAGAGAATTCGTAGTTTGGAATTTAGGAGGAGGTGCGGGATTACCAAAACTGTTGTCCAGAGGCTGAGGAAGGGTTGTTGAGGTGGTTCGGACATGTAGAGAGAATGGAGCGAAACAGAATGACTTAAAGAGTGTATCAGTCTGTAGTGGAAGGAAGGGGGGGTAGGGGTCGGCCCTAGGAAGGGTTGGGGGGAGGGGGAAAAGGGAGGTTTTGTGTGCGAGGGGTTTGGGGACTTCCAGCAGGAAATGCTTGAGCGTGTTTGATAGGAGTGAATGGAGACCAAATGGTTTTTAATACTTGACGTGCTGTTGGAGTGTGAGCAAAGTAACATTTATGAAGGGATTCAGGGAAACCGGCAGGCCGGACTTGAGTCCTGGAGATGGGAAGTACAGTGCCTGCACTCTGAAGGAGGGGTGTTAATGTTGCAGTTTAAAAACTGTAGTGTAAAGCACCCTTCTGGCAAGACAGTGATGGAGTGAATGATGGTGAAAGTTTTTCTTTTTCGGGCCACCCTGCCTTGGTGGGAATCGGCCGGTGTGATAATAATAATATATATATATATATATATGTCGTGCTGAATATGTAAAACTGGTCAATTAGCAAGAACTCATTTAAAATTAAGTCCTTTCTAAAATTTTCTCTTATACGTTTAAAGATATATTTTTTTCTTTAATGTTAATGTAAAAAAAATTTAATTTTGCACCAAAAGAATCTTAGAAAACTTACCTAACCTTATTATAACAAGAGCAATGTATTTTAGCCTAACCCAGCTAAATATATTTTAAATACGTTTACAATAATTTAGTACTAAACAAACACAATCAAATATATTTTTTTCATTAGGTTCAGAATGATTTTGGCAGAATTATTGCATACACAAATTTTCGCTTGTCCTATATGGCAAGATGAGCATTGCTATTTAAGCCAAGATAGCAAGTTCTGCCTATTCGGCACGACATACATATATATACAGTGGACCCCCGCTTAACGATCACCTCCAAATGCGACCAATTATGTAAGTGTATTTATGTAAGTGCGTTTGTACGTGTATGTTTGGGGGTCTGAAATGGACTAATCTACTTCACAATATTCCTTATGGGAAAAAATTCGGTCAGTACTGGCACCTGAACATACTACTGGAATGAAAAAAGTTCGTTAACCCGGGGGTCCACTGTATATATATATATATATATATATAATATATATATATATATATATATATATATATATATATATAATATATATATATATATATATATATATATATATATATAATATATATATATAATATATATATATATATTCTTTCTTCTTTCAACACACCCCGTACCCCACGAGGCGGGGTGCCCAAAAGGAAAATAGAAGTTTCTCCTTTTACATTTAGTAATATATAAGGAGAAGAGGTTACTAGCCCCTTTGCTCCCGGCATTTTAGTTGCCTCTTACAACACGCATGCTTACGGAGGAAGAATTCTGTTCCACTTCCCCATGGAGAATATAATATAATATATATATATATAAAAATATATATATATATACATATACACACACACACACACACACACACACACACAGTGGACCCTCAGCTAACGATGGCATCAGCTAACGTTAAATCCAGCTAACGATACATTTTAACACAAAAATTTTGCCTCAGCTAACACTAAAAAACTCACCCAACGCGATTCGTTCGAGACGCGTCCAAATGTGGCCTGAGCACACCTCAGTTGTCTCGTGGGTGCCAGTGTTTACAAGCCAGCCAGTGCAGTCGCATCCACGCATACAATTGGAACATTTCATATTATCACAGCATTTTTAGTGATTGTACCTGCAAAATAAGTCACCATGGGCCCCAAGAAAGCTTCTAGTGCCAACCCTGTAATAAAAAGAGTGATAATTAGTATGGAAATTAAGAAAGGTTTTGAAGGGTTTGGGGCTAACCCTGAGATGCGTATGCCAGTTGTGGAATCCATTGTGCCTACTTCAAAGATTAAGGAAATGTGTGCAAAGTGGGTTGAACTGCAAACCTTTATGGATGAAAATCACCCTAATACAGCTATTGCAAGCCGTGCTGGTGACTATTACAATGACAATGTTGTGGCCAATTTTAGGCAAATCTTAAAGGAACGGGAGGTACAGACCTCTATGGACAGATTTGTTGTGCGACAGAGGTCCAGTGACTCTCAAGCTGGACCTAGTGGCATTAAAAGAAGAAGGGAAGTAACCCCGAAAAAGGACTCGATACCTCAAGTCCTAATGGAAGGGGATTCCCCTTCTAAACATTAACAACTTCCACACTCTCCCCTCCTCCCATCCCATCAGTCATCACCAGATCTTCAATAAAGGTAAGTATCAGTTTGTGTGTATTAAAATTAATATTTCATGTGGTAAAAAAAATTTTTGTTTCATACTTTGGGGTGTCTTGCATGGATTAATTTGATTTACATTATTTCTTATGGGGAAAATTAATTCAGCAAAACGATAATTTCAGCTAACGATGAGCTTTCAGGAACAGATTAATATCGTTAGCTGAGGGTCCACAGTATATATATATATATATACAGTGGACCCCCGGTTAACGATATTTTTTCACTCCAGAAGTATGTTCAGGTGCCAGTACTGACCGAATTTGTTCCCATAAGAAATATTGTGAAGTAGATTAGTCCATTTCAGACCCCCAAACATACATGTACAAACGCACTTACATAAATACACTTACATAATTGGTTGCATTCGGAGGTAATCGTTATGCGTGTTTGATAGGAGTGAATGGAGACAAATGGTTTTTAATACTTGACGTGCTGTTGGAGTGTGAGCAAAGTAACATTTATGAAGGGATTCAGGGAAACCGGCAGGCCGGACTTGAGTCCTGGAGATGGGAAGTACAGTGCCTGCACTCTGAAGGAGGGGTGTTAATGTTGCAGTTTAAAAACTGTAGTGTAAAGCACCCTTCTGGCAAGACAGTGATGGAGTGAATGATGGTGAAAGTTTTTCTTTTTCGGGCCACCCTGCCTTGGTGGGAATCGGCCAGTGTGATAATAATAATAATAAAATATATATTTTTTATTTTTTTTTTTCAACAAGACGGCCGTCTCCCACCGAGGCAGGGTGACCTAAAAAAGAAAGAAAATCCCCAAAAAGAAAATACTTTCATCATCATTCAACACTTTCACCACACTCACACATTATCACTGTTTTTGCAGAGGTGCTCAGAATACAACAGTTTAGAAGCATATACGTATAAAGATACACAACATATCCCTCCAAACTGCCAATATCCCAAAACCCCTCCTTTAAAGTGCAGGCATTGTACTTCCCACACACACACACACACACACACGGACTCGACCCCCGCAACCTCAACTAGGTGAGTACACACACACACACACACACACACACAGAGGACCCCCAGTGTTCCAGTTTTCATCCGGTGCGGAAATTGTACAATTTGGATTTCGAGCTTTTTCGTTGACGAAATTTTCCCCCGGGTTTCCTACATCCGCTTGGAAATCATTTGTATCAGACTTGTCCCCCCCCCCCCCCCCGGGATGCAGCTTCTCACACATATCAGACTCAGTCTGCCTCCGTCTCTCATTGAGTTAGCAATACTCCGCATGTTCATCCATTGTTTTTTGTGCTTTTTTATTGATTGTGACTGTGAAATAAGCCACCTTGGGCCAAAGAAAGTTCAGCGTGCAAGCCCTTTGGTAAAGAAGGTGAGAAACACGATAGAATTCAAGAAAGAACTTGTAGAATGAGTTGCAAAGTTTTGTGAAGAAATATCACTACCACCCTCTACAAAGGTAGAGGGTGGTAGTGATTGTGGTAGAGGGTGGTAGTGATGGTGGTAGAGGGTGGTAGTGATGATGGTAGAGGGTGGTAGTGATGGTGGTAGAGGGTGGTAGTGATGATGGTAGAGGGTGGTAGTGATGGTGGTAGTGGGTGGTAGTGATGGCAAACAATCAGAGATGTTGAGAAGTTGTTGGTGTGGATCAACAAAAAACAGTTAGTGGGAGATAGTGTTGTGGGGGTGATAATTTGTGAAAAGGCAAGGCAGTTGTATGCGGATCTCGCAAAGAATATGCCACCAACAGCCTTCAATAAAGATAAAACTGATTTAAATGTTTATCTATCCATTAAAATTTATGCTTTTTATTTATTTCTCATTGTTTTCTGTATGTAAAACTATAGTTTTTGTTAATATTTTTGGGTGTCTGGAACAGATTAATTGGATTTACATTATTTCTTATGGGAAATATTACTTCGGTTTTCGTCCATTTCAGATTTCGGCCGACCTTCTGGAACGAATTAAGGATGAAAACCTGGGTATTACTGCATATATATACATATACAATATATATATGATGAAAAATGCTTGATTATCTAAAACCTTTGTAGTTGAGCTGATTTGTGTATTTGCTCCCTAGGCGAATTTGTCAGACAGTATGGAAGACACAAGGGAAACAGCAGCACTTGTAGGACGCCGTTCAAGAGGCCGTACTGCTCAGTATCTCACTGGTTTTGCAGGTTGGTTAACTGTAAGGTGATTGAATTTACAGGCTAGCCATTCAAAAGTTTGAAATAAACCATACCCCCGGCCGGGATTGAACCCGCGGTCATAGAGTCTCAAAACTCCAGCCCGTCGCGTTAGCCACTAGACCAGCTAGCCACAATAAGATTCATCCAACTAGGTATATTTCTACACCATAGGAAGGTTAGCACAGGCACCACTGTGACCACAAATGCAAGTTTTTACAGACGAATCTCCAGCTAGCGTGGCCGTGAAATGTTTGAAATGTTAGCAGCAAGAGGTAATATATTACAGGTTGGCCATCACTAATCCGGCATCATCGGAACCTCTCCGCCGCCCGATTAGGTTGGAATACACTTAATCCAATGGCGATATTTACACACCGGAGATTTCCACTACTTTATACCTTATTTTTGGCCCATTCCATTATTTCTGTCTACCAAACTTGTACCTATTTTGCTAGTATTCCTTCTGTCTGTCAATTGAATACAAGAAACTGCCCATTTACCCATTTCAACTACCCAGTAAAGTGGTCAGAAATTGGTAATTTGGCAAATTTCACACAAATTTCAGTAGGTGCCAATTTCAAAATAAGGTCTAGAATAAACAGTGCAGACATTTCTAGCAGTAAAGCATCATTTTCTTTGTTCATTAGCCACATCTCCAGGCCCCTCTTATATTACACTTGTTTTCCATTTTGAATTTTTATTCACACAAAAAAATAGAAGATTTACTATTATGCAGACTACTGCATTATTGTAATAACTGCATAAATAATGTCAACCCATTCATGACTGCATATTAGACTGACCAGTTGGACATGTATTGGACGGTGACATCATTTGTTTCCTCCTGAACATCAACAAAAATCAAACATTTCTGCTACTTTGAGCTCAATTTTAGAATACTTTCTGGTGTGAAACCAATCAAAATTATATCTATTTCTGCAGTATATCTTCCATTCTATCAAATGAGACCAAAAAAATGAGAATACAACCATACAAACCATATGAAAATACACCACAAAGTTGCTGTTTCACACCAAAAACACAGGTGCCTATTTTTCTCATTATGCACTGCGTGCTGCAAGATTTTTTATATAGTGTACACTTACCACACAGACCTGTTATCTCATATGTAGGCCCAAATTTACTGGTCACAGCTTATCTGAGTGAGCTGAGCTTATGAAGACTGACAATGGCTTCCAAGCCACCTTATCTTTTATGGACAATGTAGGGTGTATGTGCTTTACATAACAAGAAGCATTCTTTTTATTCATTGGAATCATGGCTAGGGCTAAAAGTGAGCAAGTTATAACAATAAATGGAGAAAAAGAGATTGGAATGGCTTGTGCAGCAAGTAACTCCACCAAACAGTAATGGCAGGTTGGTGTTGCAACCCCAGAAATTTGAAATTATGCTAGCCAGAATTAGTGCCGGATTACTGATGGAACCGGATTACTGATTGCTAGATTAGTGATGGCCAGCCTATATTATTATCTGGATATAGCACATCTGGAGATTTTACTTATTTTTAAATAAGCTTTTCTAAAATATTCTTGTGTCTCGTAATTCACCTCATATATATTTCATATGCCCATATGCTGACACGTGCACTTCCAAGTATCTAAATACATTCCTTCCATTTTGACTGACATCTTTCATTCCTTACACATGAACTTATTCTCATCTCCTACTCTAAGTATGGTACTGCACATACCTTAATACACAATATACGTACAGTACAGTAGGTGTCCCTCATTTTATCCTGTTACAGGACCATGGAGTGCAGGCACTATTCTTACCACCTCCAGGGTTAAAGGCTTGCTACCCAGGTTCCCAGAATCCCTTCATAAATATTACCTTGCTCACACTCCAACAGCATGTTGTCATAGAGCCCCTTGTCTCTGTTCACTCTGATCTAATGTGCTCACACAAGCCTGCTCGATGCTCATGTCACTAACACTCAAAACCTTTATTTTTCAGAATATTTTTGGCCAATTCCTACCAAGGCAGGGTGGCCCGAAAAAGAAAAACTTTCACCATCATTCACTCCATCACTGTCTTGCCAGAAGGGTGCTTTACACTACAGTTTTTAAACTGCAACATTAACACCCCTCCTTCAGAGTGCAGGCACTGTACTTCCCATCTCCAGGACTCAAGTCCGGCCTGCCAGTTTCCCTGAACCCCTTCATAAATGTTACTTTGCTCACACTCCAACAGCACGTCGAGTATTAAAAACCATTTGTCTCCATTCACTCCTATCAAACACGCTCACGCATGCCTGCTGGAAGTCCAAGCCCCTCGCACACAAAACCTCCTTTACCCCCTCCCTCCAACCTTTCCTAGGCCGACCCCTACCCCGCCTTCCTTCCACTACAGACTGATACACTCTTGAAGTCATTCTGTTTCGCTCCATTCTCTCTACATGTCCGAACCACCTCAACAACCCTTCCTCAGCCCTCTGGACAACAGTTTTGGTAATCCCGCACCTCCTCCTAACTTCCAAACTACGAATTCTCTGCATTATATTCACATCACACATTGCCCTCAGACATGACATCTCCACTGCCTCCAGCCTTCTCCTCGCTGCAACATTCATCACCCATGCTTCACACCCATATAAGAGCGTTGGTAAAACTATACTCTCATACATTCCCCTCTTTGCCTCCAAGGACAAAGTTCTTTGTCTCCACAGACTCCTAAGTGCACCACTCACCTTTTCCCCCTCATCAATTCTATGATTCACCTCATCTTTCATAGACCCATCCGCTGACACGTCCACTCCCAAATATCTGAATACATTCACCTCCTCCATACTCTCTCCCTCCAATCTGATATCCAATCTTTCATCATCTAATCTTTTTGTTATCCTCATAACCTTACTCTTTCCTGTATTCACTTTTAATTTTCTTCTTTTGCACACCCCTACCAAATTCATCCACCAATCTCTGCAACTTCTCTTCAGAATCTCCCAAGAGCACAGTGTCATCAGCAAAGAGCAACTGTGACAACTCCCACTTTATGTGTGATTTCTTTATCTTTTAACTCCACGCCTCTTGCCAAGACCCTCGCATTTACTTCTCTTACAACCCCATCTATAAATATATTAAACAACCACGGTGACATCACACATCCTTGTCTAAGGCCTACTTTTACTGGGAAATAATTTCCCTGTAAAAGTAGGCCTTAGACAAGGATGTGTGATGTCACTGTGGTTGTTTAATATATTTATAGATGGGGTTGTAAGAGAAGTAACCCCATCTATAAATATATTAAACAACCACAAGAGGCGTGGAGTTAAAAGATAAAGAATCACACACAAAGTGGGAGTTGTCACAGCTGCTCTTTGCCGATGACACTGTGCTCTTGGGAGATTCTGAAGAGAAGTTGCAGAGATTGGTGGATGAATTTGGTAGGGTGTGCAAAAGAAGAAAATTAAAGGTGAATACAGGAAAGAGTAAGGTTATGAGGATAACAAAAAGATTAGGTGATGAAAGATTGAATATCAGATTGGAGGAGAGAGTATGGAGAGGTGAACGTATTCAGATATTTGGGAGTGGACGTGTAGCGGATGGGTCTATGAAAGATGAGGTGAATCATAGAATTGATGAGGGAAAAACAGTGAGTGGTGCACTTAGGAGTCTGTGGAGACAAAGAACTTTGTCCTTGGAGGCAAAGAGGGGAATGTATGAGAGTATAGTTTTACCAACGCTCTTATATGGGTGTGAAGCGTGGGTGATGAATGTTGCAGCGAGGAGAAGGCTGGAGGCAGTGGAGATGTCATGTCTGAGGGCAATGTGTGGTGTGAATATAATGCAGAGAATTCGTAGTTTGGAAGTTAGGAGGAGGTGCGGGATTACCAAAACTGTTGTCCAGAGGGCTGAGGAAGGTTGTTGAGGTGGTTCGGACATGTAGAGAGAATGGAGCGAAACGAATGACTTCAAGAGTGTATCAGTCTGTAGTGGAAGGAAGGCGGGTAGGGGTCGGCCTAGGAAGGGTTGGAGGGAGGGGGTAAAGGAGGTTTTGTGTGCGAGGGGCTTGGACTTCCAGCAGGCATGCGTGAGCGTGTTGATAGGAGTGAATGGAGACAAATGGTTTTTAATACTTGACGTGCTGTTGGAGTGTGAGCAAAGTAACATTTATGAAGGGATTCAGGGAAACCGGCAGGCCGGACTTGAGTCCTGGAGATGGGAAGTACAGTGCCTGCACTCTGAAGGAGGGGTGTTAATGTTGCAGTTTAAAAACTGTAGTGTAAAGCACCCTTCTGGCAAGACAGTGATGGAGTGAATGATGGTGAAAGTTTTTCTTTTTCGGGCCACCCTGCCTTGGTGGGAATCGGCCGGTGTGATAATAAAAATAATAAATATTATAATAATAATAATAATAATAATTGGCCATCTCGACTGTAATAGCCACATGTTTTGAATTATTTAAATTGACAGTGGTTATCCACCAGTGATGGTTACTTATCATTACTTTAAATAATGATATAGTATTTTAATCAATATAGCTCTGAGCTACCATAAGTAAATTGAAATGTATGCTTTGGTAAAAAAAGTTAACTGCAAGTTTGAATGTTGAAATGCATGCAGTGTAACCATTAAGAAGTCTTTAGACTTTATTTTTTAATGCTTGAAATATATGGATTCCTCAATTTTCCAACTAATAATGATACATCATCAGCTACCATGGGTGCCCTGGCTGCTGGGACTGTCTTGGGTTACTCCTCTCCAGCTGGTGCTCAACTGACGTCCAACTCAACGAGTGGGTCACTACATCTGACCAGTGAAGAAAATATGTGGTTCTCATCCTCAATGAACTTAGGAGCACTAGTAGGAGGTCCTGTCGGTGGCATATGTCTTAACATTCTAGGTAGACGGGGCACTATGCTGGCTTCCTCGGTGCCCTTCATTGGTGGATGGCTTCTTATTGGTATGTACGGCTGATTATTTTTGCAATACATGTATTTGTCATATTTATTTTATTAACACATAGGCCGTTTCCCACCAAGGTAAGATGGCCTGAAGAAGAAAAACTTTCATGATCATTCACTCCATCACTGTCTTGCCAGAGGTGTGCTTACGCTATAGTTATAAAGCTGCAACATTAACACCCCTCCTTCAGATTGGAGGCACTGTACTTCCCATCTCCAGTACTTAAGTCCAGCCTGCTGGTTTCCCTGAATCCCTTCATAAATATTAACCCTGCTCACACTCAAACAGCACATTAAGTCATAAAAACCATTTGTCTTCATTCACTCCTGTCTAAAATGCTGACGCATGCTTGCTGGAAGTCCAAGCCCCTTGCAGACAAAACCTTTACCCCTCCCTCCAGCCTTTCCTAGGCTGACCTCTAACCCGCCTTCCCTCCACTACAGATTTATACATTCGAAGTCATTCTGTTTCGTTCCATTCTCTCTACATGTCTGAACCACCTCAACCCTTCCTCAGCCCTTGGGGTAATAGTTTTGGTAATCCCACACCTCCTCCTAATTTTCAAACTACGAATTCTCTGCATTATATTTACACCACACATTGCCCTCAGATGCAACATCTCCACTGCCTCCAGCCTTCTCCTTGTTGCAACATTCACCACCCATGCTTTGCACCCATATAAGAGCATTAGTATAACTATACTCTCATATATTCCTCTCTTTATTTCCATGGACAAAGTTCTTTGTCTCCACAGACTCCTCAGTGTACCACTTGCCTTTTTTCCTTCATCAGTTCTGTGAGTCACCTCATCTTTCATAGACCCATTTGCTGACATGTTCACTCCTAAATATCTGAATACATTGACCTCCTCCATACTCTCTCCCTCCAATCTGATATTCAAACTTCCATTACCTAATTTCTTATCCTCATCGCCTTACTCTTTCCTATATTCACTTTTAATTTTCTTCTTTTACATTCCCTACGAAACTCATCCACCAACTTCTGCAACTTCTCTTCAGAATCTCCCAAAAGCACAGTGTGATCAGCAAAGAGCAACTGTGACAACTCCCACATTGTGTTAGATTCTTTATCTTTTAACCCCACACCTCTTGCAAACACCCGAGCATTCACTTCTCTTACAACCCCATCTATAAATATATTGAACAACCACGGTGATATCACACATCCTTGTATAAGGCCTGCTTTTACTGGGAAATAATCTCCCTCTTTCCTACACTATCCTCGTAAAAACTTTTCACAGATTTCGATAACCTACCTCCTGTTTCATACATTTGCAACATCTGCCACATTGCCCCCCTATCCACCCTGTCATATGCCTTTTCCAAATCCATGAATGCCACAAAAACCTCTTTACCCTTATCTAGATACTGTTCACCTATATGTTATACGTGCAAGATATTAGACACTTGATTTTCCTGAATATTTTTTTAGTGCTTTTTTTAACATGTCAGCTGTAATTATTTACACCAAATGTAAAAATTGGGTTTCAATAATTTGAATATTTATTATTATAATTAGTGTTTGTTTTCTTAAATGACTGGTTATTACATTACAGCAACGTTATTTTGTGTGCTGTTCCTGTATTTTTTTATATTTACTTTGTTATGGTTTCAAGTTTATTAACCCTCATGCACTGGAAAGGGAGCAAAATTAATGTTGAATAATTATGTTATTGTGAATAGCAAATTGGTGATTGTGTTTTCAGCCTTCGCTCGGAACTTTGGCATGCTGATGACTGGACGCATTATAACAGGACTCTGTACTGGTATCACTTCACTTATCGTTCCCACTTACATTGGAGAGTATGCTTCAGCTGACGTGAGAGGAACTCTAGGTGAGTCACTTATTCATTCCATCTGAAGAGTGAGAGTTCATTCTCAAACTGGTCTGTGGTGCTTCAGTCTAACAAAGGTATCCCACTTCTAGTACGTACTTTGAATCTCCATTGTTTTTCTGTTAACATGGTTTCTGCAAGCATATGTAAGTTATCAATGACCCCCCAAAAATATTTATCTTTAAAAGTGTATATTGATATTGTCTTCATATTGTTTTATTATTTTATTTTTACAGCAGGTTATTTCCCACCAAGGTAGCATCCCAAAAAAAAGGAAAAACATTCACCATTACTCATTCAAATGCTGTTTTTCCAGGAATGCATATAGTATATTACAGTTTAAAAGACCCTCCAAATACAATGCTGACACTGTACTGGCACCCTACAAGGAGAGTGCTGGCACTGTGCTTCCTAATCTCTTATAAGATAAGATAAGATATCGTTCGGATTTTTAACCCTGGAGGGTTAGCCACCCAGGATAACCCAAGAAAGTCAATGCGTCATTGAGGACTGTCTAACTTATTTCCATTGGGGTCCTTAATCTTGTCCCCCAGGATGTGACCCACACCAGTCGACTAACACCCAGGTACCTATTTGCTGCTAGGTGAACAGACAACAGGTGTAAGGAAACTTGTAGAAATGTTTCCACCCGCCGGGAATCGAACCCGGGCCCTCCGTGTGTGAAGCGGGAGCAGGCCACCGGGCCACCTATATAGCTGTTGATTTTCCAGAGTTGTAATGACTGCTGACCATGCAGTTTCTTATATGCCTCTTGTTGACCCTCAGTTTAGTTTCAGTCTCTTCATTCATTCTTAAGGGAAAGGGTCATAATCATCACAAGATTCTCACAACCCATCATTACTCTTTTTTTTTTTTTTATAATCAGCCACTCCTTTCCATCCTTATAGACTGAATTATTCAGTTCAGTATTATCTCTGTATAGCTAAACAGTACTGGCATAGCAATTGGGAAAAAAAATTCCTTGATTAACCTTATGCAGTCATGATTGGTACATGATTTATTTTATATGAAATGGAATAATGATACCATCTATGAATGCAGGAATAAATTAGGCACAGCATTTCGGCAGAATACCCATAATTTGTGGTAAAAATATTGTACATATTTTTGTAACATTTGGCCATCTCCCACTAAGATAAGATGACTGCCATTCACCCCCCTCCCCCCCCCCCAAAAAAAAAAATCTTCACCGTTACTTATTCAATAGTTGTCTTGTAGGAAGTGCCCTGATATAATTCAAATGACCCTTTGAGCTATAATACCCTCACCCCTCCTTCAGAATGCAGGCTCCATACCTCCTACCTCCAGGACTTAAGTCTGGCTCATTGTTTTTCCCTGAATCCCTACACTCAGCAACATGTTAAATCATAAATGCCACTTTTCTCCACTGAATCTGATTTAACACACTCACAGAAGCCTTTCTCCTCCTCCCTCCAACCCTTCCTGGAGCAATCCCTACCTCTTCTTCGTCACCCTATTCTGCTCCATCCTCTCTTCATGCCAAAACCACCTCAATATCCCTTTCTCTGTCAATTATTCTATGGTAACCCCACAGTCTTCTAATTTCTGTCTCTAAATTTTCTGCAGTCACACCAGACATGGATTTATTTAAATTGGGAATGTATTATTAAGAGTTTGTAGTAAGTAAAACTTTTTTAAGGTAATGGTGTTTTCTGTTTTTACTTACAGGAAGTGGATTCCAATTGATGGTGACAATTGGTGTGATGTATTCTTATTTACTAGGAGCACTAGTTTCAACTTGGCGGGTACTTGCAGGATTATGCATAATTCCCCCTGTTATCTACTGCGTGCTTATGTTCTTTGCCAAAGAATCTCCAAGTTTTCTCCTCTCCAAAGGAAAAGAGGAGCAAGCTGCAGCAGCCCTTCAGTTCTTCAGAGGTAATGGAAATAACACCCTGACTTGTTATCACATGTAGCATAATATGGTAGAGTTGTCTCTGGGTCTATGCAGTAGATGCTTTCCAGGCCCACAGGAACTGTAATAAGCTTAATCAGGCCGTCAGTGCTTAATTCTGCATAATAAGAATCTTCAACACAGTTTGCAAACCACATTGATTGCATACAGAAAATGTATAATAAACATGCAAAATTGACAGTAGAAATGGAACATTGAATAATAGATAATGCATAGGCAGTAGAACCCCCCCATCCATATCCACTGACTCGGTATCTGCAGTTTCAGTTATCCACAGTTTACTGTGGCCCAAAAACACCTCTTAATTGTGCATAACAATGGTCCCAAAATGCAAAAGTAGAGAAGCTGGCAGTACTTCAAAGCCTAAGAGAAGCCATGAAGTGCTTCCCATCAGTGAAAAGTGATATTTCTCCGCTTGTTGTGCATAATTTATCAGTTAAACTTATAATAAGTATGTATAGGACTTATATATAGGGTTTGCTACTATCTACGCTTTCAGTATCCACAGCAGGTCCTCAAAACGTATCCCTTGGGGATACAGTACAGTGAATCTGCATAAATAGCAAGGAAAACCAACTTTATGTTGAAAGCTTTGCACACGTATCCTATAAGACACTTAGGATACCTGATTTTTCAAAAAACTACCTTTTTTTTTTTTTTGAAAACCCAACACCTAAAGTAACTTTATAAAATATGCTTTGTCTTATTCACATTATTATTTAAAATACATGTACCTAACGATAAACTTGCATATTTATCGCCTTTCAAGAAATTTGCATGGCTTCAGTCCTTAGTTTACTGCTTTTTTTTATGGAAAGTCATTTACTGTACATAATGCAGAATACAGTAAATCCTCGATTTAACAGATGAATAGGGGGAAGCAGATGGCAAATAATGGCAATTGTGGAGGAAAGAGATGTGATTGTTTTATGGTAATAGTGGCACTAACAGTTCTGTCATCAGTTAATTTTGTCCATTGTTTCCAGATGAATTAACCCAGTGAATTTCGTCCCATATTTCTAGTGCTTTAAATCATGGTCCATTAAACTGAGGGTTTACTCTATGTAAATTCACTGTCTAATATGCATGTGTGTGTTAGATCAGAAAGAAAGGTGGTAAATCCTTTGGATTTGGTATGCTGTGTAAGTGTGAGTAGTACAGTATTCAGAGAAGCCTAGCATTCATAAGGTTTGGATATAGAAAAGACAGCACTTGCATATAAAGAGTTATGTGAAAATTTTGCTGTTGATTTTTTAAAATGAAACTTCAATGTCTGTGCCCTTCTGGAACGGCAGCAAGAGACTAAGAAATGGAGAATGTATTTTTTTTCTTTGGGTTGCTCTGCTCTGGTGAGAAATGGTTCATGAGTTAAAAGTAAAAAATATTAAAAGAAGTATACAAAGGGAGGATTTTTTCATACACCAGCCATCTCCCATCAAGGTAGGGTGACCTCAAAAAAAAAGAAAAAATATGCATTCATAGTCATTCATCCAATACCTGTCTTGCCAGAAGCATGTTGACATCACAGTTCAGATGGCCTTCTGAATTAATTTCATTGCATACTGTCACTTCACAGGTAAGGATGGCAACATTCAGACAGAGTTAGACATGATGCGGCAGTCCCTGGAAGATGCTCGACGCAACAAGGCATCCATTAGGATCCTCACGAAACCATACATTTTCAAGCCCCTCATGATCTCACTCTCCCTTATGTTCTTCCAGCAGTTTTCAGGAATTAATCCTGTTCTCTTCAATTTAACCACAATATTTCATGTGAGTATAATGCAATAATATCAAGAGCATCTAGGTTATATAAGAAAATGTATTTAAAAGCATATAGAGAAATATCAGTGACTGCAAAAGTAGCTTACCTGGAGTTTACCTGGAGAGAGTTCCGGGGGTCAACGCCCCCCCGGCCCGGTCTGTGACCAGGCCTCCTGGTGGATCAGAGCCTGATCAACCAGGCTGTTGCTGCTGGCTGCACACAAACCAACGTACGAGCCACAGCCCGGCTGATCAGGAACTGACTTTAAGTCAGATTGCTTTGAAAAGTATTATTGTGCATGATGAGTTAGATTATTCATATTGAATATGATTATATCACAGTATTCTGATCTCCTTCAAATCTTTAACACTAATATTTAACCCTTTGACTGTTGAGACCCCTGCTCACAAACTTGTTCTCAGTGTCGAAGAATTTAAAAAAAAAGTTATTTTTCTTATAAAATGATAGAGAATCTTTTCCTGATGGTAATGACACCAAAAGTACGAAATTTCATTGAAAACTTACGGAATTACGCTCTCGCAAAGATAGTGATCTTGGTGATATTTGTGCATCGGCGATTTCGCCCACTTTGAGCCCTACTTTCAGTCAATTCCATTGTTCCAGTCGACCAAACTCATAGCTATTTCTTTAGAACTCCATTTGTTATACCAATTGAGTAAAAGAAACCACTCATTTACTGATTTCAACTAACCAATAAAGTGGTCAAAAATTGGCAGTTTGGCCAATTTCACGCAAATTAAAAAAGGTGCCAATTTCAAAATAGGGTCCTGAATAAACAATGCACTAAAATAACACTTTCTCAGTTCATCAGTCACATCTCCAGGCCCCTCGTATATTACTCTTGCTTTCTGTTTTGAATTTTTACTCACAGGTCTAGGTAAACACAAAAAATGAAAGACTTACTGTTATGCAGACTGCTGCAGTATTGTAATAATTGTATAAATAATTACTTCATATTAGAATGGCTAGTTGGACACTTATTGGACAATGACGTCATTTGTTTACTCTTGAATATCAGCAAAAATCGAACATTTCTGCTACTTTGAGCTTAATTTCAAGGTCCTCTTCATCATGAAACCAATCAAAATCATCTTTAGTTCTGTAATAAATCTTCCATTCTATCAAATGAGACCAAGAAAATGAGAATACAACCATAAATACTGTACAAAAATACACCTCAAATTCGGTGTTTTAATCCAAAAACATGGTCGGAGTTTTTTTTTTTTTTTCTCATTATGCGCTGCGTGCTGCAAGATTTTTTTATACTGCTCACACTGACCACACAGACCCATTCTCTCACACATGGGCCTACCAACTTTCTCCCACTTGATTTAAAGCTGCTAGAATTTTGGAGTATAAATACGCCAAAATCACTGGCTTGTAAGATGTATATATACGTCAGAAATAGTCAGAGGGTTAACCATTATCAACTGATGCCACACTTTACTATTCCAGCCACGTGCACAGAGGCACAAGGTACTAGGGTTGTGGAATATTGGGATACCTTTATCAAATTGCACAGTGACCAAAATACATCTAGTCTTGGACTCGCCCTTAGCTAATAGAGGGCTTGATATCTTTTAGTGAAATGTAGATAAAATTATGTTCAAAGAGTATGTATGTATGTATTTTAAGGCTTTTCTGTGTATAAATATAACTTGTTAAGTAGCTACTTTTATATAGACTATACATTGAGGTAATGGTAAAGTTTTATTTTGATTTGATTAGGGGTTTGGGATATTGGCAGTTTGGAGGGGTATGTTATATATGCTTCTAAACTGTTGTATCTGGGTGCCTCTGCAAAGACAGTGATGTGTGAGTGAGGTGAAAGTGTTGAATGATGATGAAAGTACAGTGGACCCCCGGTTAACGATATTTTTTCACTCCAGAAGTATGTTCAAGTGCCAGTACTGACCGAATTTGTTCCCATAAGGAATATTGTGAAGTAGATTAGTCCATTTCAAACCCCCAAACATACACGTACAAACTCACTTACATAAATACACTTACATAATTGGTCGCATTCGGAGGTGATCGTTATGCGGGGGTCCACTGTATTTCCTTTTTGGAGATTTTCTTTCTTTTTGAGTCACCCTGCCTCGGTGGAAGATGGCCAACTTGTTGAAAATAAATATATTTGATATGTATGTATATTACATATACATGTATATATAAATATATATGATAAATTAGACACATGTGCAACTCTTGGGTATCTTTATTGATACCCAAGAGTTTCACATGTGTCTAATTTATCAACATGTCGGTTCTCTGAACCATTCATCTACAAATAAATATATATAAATATATAAAGCAGGCTAGGGTCTGGGTTATTGCTGTAAAGCAAAAATCATAGTAAAGTGAAACATAACCTTTTTTACTTTCAAAAGCATATAAACATGTTTACACTTTCATTTATTAAGTGAGCAATCGAGCTAGGCCTAAAAAAATACATATACAGTACACACATTACTGACATTAAAATATTTTCATTCTTAGCATATAGTGAGTGGTGAATATATTGTATTGTAGGAATTCTGAATAAATGAAGAATGGGTATTATTGAAAACCACTGCAATAGCGAAACACCGTAAAGCGAAGCGCCATAAAGTGGAGCCCTCCTGTATTTTGCAGTAGGTAGCATTAGATATAATGCATTATAAGTGCACTTTATATTAACAAGTTTTTATACTATAATATTTTAGTCAAATTATGTGTTGCTTTATATGTACCCACCAGAATTGAAGTTTGTAGCATTGCTTACCTGAATCAGACACCAGCTGCTAATAATGAAATGTAATTCACCAGGATTCGGGATCAAAAATTTCTGATAACATGAGCTCCATCATCATTGGTCTCGTGCAAGTGGCTGCAACGTTTTTGGCTACTGTGCTTATGGATAAGGCTGGCAGAAAGTTGCTATTGATTGTTTCGTCATCAGTCATGGCTCTCTCTATTGGTCAGTTAGCATTACTTTGTTTTAATTATGGTTTTCACTAGCTGCTATAAGCTATTCTGTAATAATCATCTATTGTGTAAATTAAATACAGCTTGACAGGTGATAAATAGGTTGGCTGCATTTGGGTATTGACAAACTGCTTTAAGGGGAATGTTTTCTCTGTAATCATTATAACTTTGGTGTGATGTAAATTTTTAAATTTTCATACTGCACTTTAAAAACTGCTGTTACCCACATATCTGTATTGATTGTTTGTTCTGTATTTTTCTGTTATTGTTTTTACCTTCTACTTATTTTGTGTATGGCAGTTGAAGCAACATTCATTCATTTCATGTATGTATTTTTTGTTTTTCATTCAATTGTTGGTTGTACTATTAATAGACAGCCTTTTTCTCTCTCTTAATTGTTAACATAAAACTGTGCTTGTCATTAGTCAGTATCTCTAAAGGGTCAGTGTTTCTGTGTAACCCCCACACTCCCCCTCCCCATAATGAACATCCCTCAGGCCAGTGATAAGATTCACAAGCATCAGGCTACATATTACTTTGAACTTCAGAAGATCTGCTACCTCCTTAAGACAGGAAGAAAGGGATGGTCATTCATTTTGTTTGCCTCGTATGATTATGTCAAAAGAGCATGACTTGTCCTAATTGCACAGTAGATGAAGGAGAGGGTTTATGATTTCCCAGTGGTTTGTTATTCTGGTGAGAAATATAAATAGAACACTTTTTGTATATCACACATTTCTTCAGGAGGAACATTTAGCAAGGATCATTCACCATAAATGATCACTTTTTCTTTGATGGGTGTATCTGATTTGAGCAAGAGAATAGAAAGGTACAATACCACAATTGGAACAATACAAAAATAACCCACGAGGTATTTGTGTATTGAGCAAGAGGGTAAGAATGTCCTTTTCTGGAGTTCCCATGGCTAGTTTGTTGATCAATGTGTGGAAAAGGTCAGGAGGGTGCAAGTTATTAATGTGTTAATGAGAAAGCTAGTGCAAAAAATCTAGTGTAGATGAAAACTTTTTCATGTCAGTTATACCCCATACTCTGTAATTGTGATCTGTTGCATAAAGCAACGTACATGAATGCACATCATTTCTTTACTACCATGTGCTATTTGACCCTTTTTGATTTTGCTCACCCCATGAATATAATAATAATAATAATAATAATAATATACTGTATGTACTATTTCTTATATTTTTCAGTTGCACTGGGTGAATTTTTCTATGAGAAGATGATTGACAAGACATGGGCCATAGACAACTTGGGTTGGCTACCTCTCACTTCACTCATCATCTTTGTAACAGCTTTCTCAATTGGTTACGGCCCCATTCCTTGGCTCATGATAGGTAAATAACACTTGGAAACTGTTTTGCCCAAATCAAGTTGGTAAATTTGTATAAAATGCCTGTTTAGATACAGGCAGGCCCTTCTTATACAGCTTGTTAGGGTACTGCTTTAGAGCAAAAATCACTGTAAAGTGAATCATAGCTTTTTTCATTTTCAAATGAATATAAAAGCTTGATAACATGTTTGCGCTATCATATATTAACTGAGTAATATAGCATATTACAGTAAAATAGGATATACAGTATGCACTTTTTTGTTTTCAACGAACTGGCTGTATCCCACAGAGACAGGGTGACCTAAAAAGAAAAACCAAAGGTTTTCCTTTTAAATTTAGTAATAGATATCTATTTGCTGTCATATATTCATTGTCTGTTTAAATGTGTATATCCATTTTTTTAACACTGACCATCTCCCACCAAAGTAGGGTAATCAAAATAGGGAAAGCACATTCACTGTCATCCATTCAGTCTGAACAGCAGTATCCTTATCCCTCCTTTAGAGTGAAAGCACTGTGTGCATATGTATGTGTATTTATTTAAGAGAACAAGTGTGTCAGTACCTGTGCTTCACAATTTACAAAGGCCATATTATCACTGGTAAATCATATATTCTACAAGTAGTAAAAAACCTTTGCTTTATAATGTTTCAATCACAGTGGGGCTCAATCAACCCTTGGTTTATTGGACCTCAATTTAACAGACTTTGGAAATGCATAAGAAAAATCTGCTGTATCAGCTGATAAGGAAACAATAGACAAAGTCCATTGATTGCAAAATTGCCAGTGCTTCATACAGTATCACAACAACCACTACTACAAAATTGTCCCTAAGTGTTACAGTCATGTCAGAATAATCTCATCCCTATCCACCATTTTCTCTCTCTCCTATTTGTCTATTAGACTGAAGGTTTTCTGTACTTCATTAATTTCCACTGTGGCTGAAATGTTGAAAAAAATGTGTTTTCCTGCTTAAAGTGTAGTATTTGAATCACCATTTGATGGCTTACATCACTATCTACCTCATACGATCCTTAACTGTGATTATTTCAAGGCTCTGAGAGCACTCAGTTAAATTGTTGATTATTTTACTAGTGGTTCTCCTGTGTAGGTGAGGCAAACATATTATGTTGGTGGTGAAAAAGACACATTTGTAGAGAGGAGCTTTAGTGAGATCTCTTACCTGTAGGACAAACTTAAACATTGTAATAAAGTTTTTCTCTGAAATCCCTTTTCACCCCTGAATGACTTTGTGCCATTTGTCTCCATATTTATGCTGTGTATTATATTTTTGATAGGTGAACTGTTTTCCCCTAATGTGAAGGAAGCAGCTGCAAGTTTTTCTACCATGTTCAACTGGAGTGCTTCATTTGTGATGACCTTAACATTTGTTCCACTACAGGTAAGTTTTTTCTTGTAGATGAATGGTTCACAGAACCAACACATTGATAAATTAGACACGTGCAACTCTTGGGTATCTTTATTAAGGAAACGTTTCGCCACACAGTGGCTTCATCAGTCCATACACAGGAGAAACATGAAGAACAGGAAGAGAATGAGGTAATCAGTCCCTCAACTTTGAGTCGAAGTGGACAGTCCATCAATCTTGAATAGAATACGGCATATGAGCGGAGAAGCAGCTTATAAACCGTAGGCAGGAGAGGTGCAGCAGACGTAGGTGGTGTCACATTTGCCCAATGTGGAAGTAGGTCGTGCCCAAGGGTTAGGCAAGCGAAGAAATCTATTCAAGATTGATGGACTGACCACATCGACTCAAGGTTGAGGGACTGATTACCTCATTCTCCTCCTGTTCTTCAAGTTTCTCCTGTGTATGGACTGATGAAGCCACTGTGTGGCGAAACGTTTCCTTAATAAAGATACCCAAGAGTTGCACATGTGTCTAAGTTATCAAGTTTTTTCTTGTTGAAGACATATTTTGAGTAGCTAGTCAGTAATGTCTCACAAATAATGCTTGTTTTTGCATGTGTTATAGAGCATTAATTTGTGCATGATCTGATTTGTAATTAAATAGTAATAGCTCTTAGTTTTTGATTGGGTCATGTTAGGCTTACTTTTAACCTAACCTAAATAAATCAGAATTTATATATACTGTAAATACCTGACAGTAATAAAATAACAAATGGGCTGTTCATATCTGGCAGTGCTGGATATGTCATAAGAGAGAGAAAATTTTGTTCACATTTTTTACCCTGAAGGGTTAACCACCCAGGATAACCCAAGAAAGGTAGTGTGTCATCGAGGGTCTGTCTGTCTTATTTTCATTGGGGCCCTCAATCTTGTCTCCCAGATGCGACCCACACCAGTTGACTAACACCCAGATACTTACTTTCTTGTTAGGTGAACAGGACAACAGGTGTAAGGAACCGACCAATGTTTCCACCCTTGCCGGGAATTGAACCACAGACGCTCAGTGCGTGAAGCAAGAGTGTTGCCTACCAGGCCACCAGCCACATAACCCCAAGCACTGTGTTATAAATTGGAGAATAGCATGTATTTAGAAATTTAAATTACTAGTCATTACATATTACAGCCTCTCCTCACTTAGCGGCGTACTCATTTACCGACGACTCAAACTTACAACAGGCTCTTAGACCAGTATGCATACCTAAATAGTGTATGTTAGAGCTGATTTCCTCTATTCTGTTCATTACAGTATACAGTACACTACTGTATAAACATTTAAAAATATACCAGAAATGTTATTAGTGCAAAAGTGACATTAAAACAATATCAAAGATGGTTGACACAAACCCACTACCATTATAGTATGCTTCTTGCTTAGCAATGAATTCATTAACCGACGTGGTCTTAGGAACAAAACTCCATCGTTAAGTGGGGAAAGATTGTATTACTTTGCTTTTACATCACACACGGTAACCAGGTAATTGTTAGTTTATCTTTAGAAATAAATAAGAATGTTAGGATTTTATTTTTTTTATATTGATGCTTTGCTTTACTCTCCCCACAGTCTGCGTTAAAGATACACGGAGTGTATTGGTTCTATTCTAGTGTATGTGTTGTCAACCTTATATTCTGCGTGACTCTTGTACCAGAGACGAAGGGCAAGACATTGGAAGAAATAAGTGCACACTTTGGTGCTCCTCCTCCTTCAAGAAATTCAAATCCTCTTGAAAATGAGCTTTAAGGTTATGTTATTAACACCCGGTTGTTATTATGTAAAAATACATTATGTTAATTTTTAAATTTTATATTGTTTTTTCTTAAAAAAATTTATAATAAATTTTGCAAACAGCAGGTCCCCGACTCAGGATGTAAATTCACTTTTTGAAAAATTTTTATAAGTTGACTGGAACTTGAAACCTATTTTCCCATAAACACCCCATATTATAATGAGAATTACAGTCTCAAGCCATAATGTTCTGTATCTAGAATGTTTACCAAATATCTTATTTTTAGTATGGTATTGTTCCTTGTTTACTAAAAAATTATAAAAAACATTATTTAAATAATTTATTATTGTTAGTTAAACACCTTGAATGTTGATGTTGTATTAATGTTAGTAGAATTACTAACAATATAAACCATACCCCCGGCCGGGATTGAACCCGCGGTCATAGAGTCTCAAAACTCTTAAGTCTTAAGTCATACTAACAATATGTTAGGTAAAAGGACACAAGTGCAACTAATGTGACATTTTATTGTGGCAATGTTTCACTCTCCAGGAGCTTTGTCAAGCCATTACAAACCATACATGGACACAGAGGGTATATATAGGCTAAAGTGAGTGTGAGGCACAAAATAATCATTGTAGAAGTAGTTGTGGTGTTAGTAGTAATATATGTGGTAGTTAAAGTTAACTTGTACATGAGTTAAAAGGGTTTTTAAAGCTTGGGTAGCATAAAAATAGGTTGAGCAAATATTTCTGTTAGTGGGATAGATTTGAAAAGGCCTTTTTCAGTGTAGGAACAATAACTTGAACAACGCCTGCATACAACACCGGAATTCCACCAATCACCTCATGAAGTTCAATGATGCCCAACTGGTGATCAAAGAACCTAATTTCCGCTGATATAAATGCCTTGAATCATCATTAATCGCTATTTCTAACACAAGCAAAATAAAGGCAGCTTCATCATCTCTGAAGTATTAGCAAGAATCCTCCTCACAACAATAAACCCTGCCATCATATTGCTGCTGCTGCTGACACTACATAAGAACATAAAAAAGGAGGAACACTGAAACAGGCCTTCTCAAATCCAACCCACTAACGGAAATATTTGCCCAATCTATTTTTATGCTACCCAAGCTTTAATAACCTTTTTAACTCATGTGCAAGTTGACTTTTACTACCACATGTATTACTACTACCACTACTACTTTGCCTATATATACTCTGTGTCCATGTATGGTTTGTTACAGATTGACAAAGCTCCTGGAGAGCAAAACGTTGCCACAATAAAATGTCACATTAGTTGCACTTGTGTATTTTACCTAACAAAATGTTGATGTTGTCTGGCTCACTTGAAGTGATGTTCCTTACTTTTTTTTAAGCTGACTTAATTACAAGATAAAATATATTCCCAGTCAGGCACTTTTTTTTTTTTTCTAGAAAATTCCAGTCTCGTCTACAATAAATATTTGATGAGCATTGTAGTTACGAACTTTAATATTATCAACAAATACTTTCACAAATTCATCTGCTTTAACATTAGCACTAACAGCTTTACCTCTCACTTTAACATTATGCAGATTTGCTCTTGCCTTAAGCTTAGTGAATCAGCCACAGCTTGTAGTAAATTTTGGGTCATTGTTAGCACCACTGTTCTCGTATAGATACTACTTGGAACTTTTTCTGTATCAACATAAGGGTGAGAGGCATTCTTTCCTTAGGCTTGTCACCTTCCTATACCATCACATTTTCTCCATCTTGTTTGAAAGACCAGTGAATGTTGCGCAAATGAGCGTGAAATGCATCGGTACACAACATTTAGGATATTCTAAAAAAGGCTCTCTATCCTTCATGATATAGTACTAGTAGTGGTAAAGCAGTTTACCCCTTACATGTAGGTGAATGTTTTTCACCTCCATATATCATTTTTTTATGATGACCATCATTCATACGTAACAGTTTGGTATCTTTATTTTTTAAATATTTCAGAAATAAAAATACCAAAGTGTTGCATATGTGTCTCATTCATGAACTTATTGGTATTGTGTATGATTATTATAGTGATCATTTTTTTAGGTTCAGCTTTGTGTCAGAGTTCATAGATTTCAATTTCTGTGGCACTTTGGCATCGTTTCAACAACTGCATTTTCCATTTATGATGCATGGTTATTTTTCTAGATAAATGTTAATAAAATCAGCTAATGGGAAGTGTGAATGAACTGTGCATTGCAGCAATGTTAACTAACAACATTTTATGCTGCTGCATTCTCCACATTCAGCGACCTGAAGTAATCCCGAAAGTAATTACAGTAATCGGTTTCAGAGCGCTAGAGTGCCAAAGATGAAACATTGTAAGTCGGGGACCTACTTCTGTGAATATTTGTGTGCATGTGCATTTGTATGCTTCTGTGTGTTTTGTGTGTTAGTATGCACATACGTGTGTGTGCACGTGCGCGCGTGCGTGCGTATGTACATACTCACCTATTTGTACTCACCTATTGGTGGTTGCAGGGATCAAGTCATAGCTTCTGGCCCCACCTCTTCACTGATTGCTACTAGGTCTTGTGTGTGTGTGTGTTAGTATGTGTGTGTTAGTATGTGTGTTAGTATGTGTGTGTGTGTGTTAGTGTGTGTATGTGAGTAAGCTTATTTAGGTACAGGTACACATAAGTACAATTATTATAGTAACGTATGTGTAAATTACCTAGGGTAACCCAATAAAGTCAAAGTGACTTATTTCCATTGTGTGTGTTTGTGCTGTAGATGTTGGTATGTCCATGGGTATATATACATACATATACATATACTGTGCACACACATACACAGTAAACTCTCCCATGACACAGTTTCACATTGTGTGATTTTGTAGCAACTTGTTTGAAAAGATTAATCTCGACATGCACCAAAATGTATTAAAGAATCAATCAGTGTGCAAAATATTGGTACTACATGCTGTAGCAATAAGCTGTACACAAAATTTGGGTACCAGACGCTGGGATGCACAACTCCTCCACACCCGTTGGCAACTCGGTTCACAACTTTTGCATTCTGGGAGCAACTTGTGCCTCATTCTGTCTTTCTCAGTCTATTTTTGATGTTTTCATCACTCTCTTTAGTCTCTGGATATTAATCGTGGCAAGCAGGAGGAATACTAGGGATGCTGGTCATGTTAAGAAAAAGAATATGCTTGGATTGATGATTTTGTTGAAGATTGTAGAAGTGTTAGATGTTTATAGGTGATGCATGTGTAATGGAAACTGCCCAAGAGTTTTGTGGCAATAATTTAACCACTCATAAAGTTAGAAATGAGTGCATGTACATTATGTAGTACAGATTGTCATGTAAACAAGATAATACTAGGGGGTTGCTAAAGCTAAACAAGACAGAAAAGTTTTAATTTATAGATTCGGAAAAAAAATAGGGGCCTCATTTAATTCTAATAAGGATTTCCAGCAAGCGTGCATGAGCATGTTAGATAGGAGTGAATGGAGATGAATGGATTTTGGGACCTGACGAGCTGTTGGAGTGTGAGCAGGGTAATATTTTGTGAAGAGATTCAGGGAAACTGGTTAGCTGGACTTGAGTCCTGGAAATGGGAAGCACAGTAGACCCTCAGCTAACGAAAGCATCGTCTAATGTTAAATCCACCTAAAGAAGCATTTAAGCGTAAAAATTTTGGCCCGGCCAACGATGAAAAACTCATCCAACGTGATTCGTCCCGAACCTGTACGTCCAGCCTGAGCACCTCAGCTGCCCTGCCATCATTGTTTACAAGCCAAGGTAGCCGGTTCCATGCATACATTCGATACATTTTGTATTATTCCATTATTTTTAGTGCTTGTAACTGCTAAATAAGCCACCATGGGCCCAAAGAAAGCTTCTGGTGCCAACCCTGTGGTAAAAAGGGTGAGAAATACTATCATACCATGGTCAGCTGCTGCTGCACCACCGTCAGCTGCTGCTGTACCACCATCAGCTGCTGCTACTGCTCTACCACGGCCAGCTGCTGCTGCTGCTGTACCATGGTCAGCTGCTACTGTACCATGGTCAGCTGCTGCTGCACCACTGTCAGCTGCTGCTGCTGCTGTACCACTGTCAGTTGCTGTACCACAGCCAGCTGCTGCTGCTGCTGTACCATGGTTAGCTGATGCTGCTGCTGTACCATGGTCAGCTGATGCTGCTGCTGTACCACAGTCAGCTGCTGCTGCACCACGGTCAGCTGCTGCTGCGCCACCGTCAGCTGTTTCTCCACCACCATCAGCTGTACTACTCGAAGATGTGGAGAGAGTGTTGTTGGTGTGGCTTAGCGAGAAACAATTACCGAGAAACAATTAACCACAGAGGGTTAGCCACCCAGGCTAACCCAAGAAAGTCAGTGAGTCATCGAGGACTGTCTAACTTATTTCCATTGGGAGTCCTTAATCTTGTTCCCCAGGATGTGACCCACACAGTCAACTAACACCCAGGTGAACAGGAAAAAAAAATGCCTGGAACTAGTGCTCATATTGGTGAATTTAAGGCCAGCAAAGGTTGGTTTGAGTGATTTAAGAATCATAGTGGCATACACAGTGTGATAAGGCATGGCAAAGCTGAAAAATTCCAACCCCAAGTGTTAATTGTGACATAACAGTCCTGTTCTGGAAGAAAATGCCAAACAGGACCTATATTACTCAGGAGGAAAAGGCACTCCCAGGACACAAGCCTATGAAAGACAGGCTAACTTTCATGTTTTGTTGTAATGCTAGTGGGGATTGCAAAGTGAAGCCTTCACTCATGTATCACTCTGAAAATCGCAGTGTGTTCCAGAAAAACAGTGTCTCATCACTCATCAATACTCTTTAATAAAGGTAAGTGTCATTTTAACATTTATTTATATAGTTATTGTGCATGTCTCATTGCTTTCTTTGTAAGAAAATGTATATTTCATAAAAAAAAATTACTTTTTTTTAATACTTTTGGCTGTCTGGAACGGATTAATTGGATTTCCACTATTTCTTATGGGGAAAATTAATTCGGCTAACGATAATTTCATCTAACAATGAGCTCTCTGGAATGGATTAATATCGTTAGCCGAGGGTCCACTGTGCATACAATGCCTGCACTTTAAAGGAGGGGTTTGGGATATTGGCAGTTTGGAGTGACTATCTAAGCTGTCGAATCTGGGTGCCTCTGCAAAGACAGTGATTATGTGTGAGTGATGTGAAAGTGTTGAATAATAATGAAAGTTTTTTCTTTCTTTTTGGGTTTTTCTTTCTTTTGGGTCACCCTGCCTCGGTGGGAAACAGCCAAAATGTTAAAAAAAAAAAAAGGTACAAAGGCATATCATGCCATAAGACTCTTTGTATATTTACTGCTGGATGGTTTGAAAGCTTTAAAAAAAGCAGTTATCTGTATGACATAAAGCTTTTTTGTTAGTGCTATAAAATACTGCAGGATAAAACACACACATGCATTACAGAGTCAGTACAACTCTGCATCCACAATAGCCCAAAGAATCACAGCCATCCACTACATCCCAGTAATCCCACATTAACTATTTTCACACCTGATATCAAGAGGAAAGCACTTCCAGACTGTAATGTAAGTTATACCATAGTAATTTGTACCTAGTACAGTGGTAAGAAGTTGGAGGTGTATGAAGAGTAACCCTATTTTCCACTTACTATAGCCTTAATCTTACATATGAATTTAAATTGTGAATCAATTTTCAGGACTATAATTTGTGTGTTGTGAGAGGGTATACTCTATATACAGTATATAGTTAGAGATGGTTTCTATATAAAATTTGGATATATATTTATTCTGAGTTTTTATACTGGTGGGGGATCTCTTGGTTCAGATAGTAATCTTCGTACTATGATATCTATGCTTATCTCAATAAAGAGATTATCATGCATACTTAACTAGCATCCTGGGTAGGTGCATTAATGTTCTGATGTTTATCACTGAACCACACTGTCTGTGCTTACTGGAATAAAGAGATTATCATACATACTTAACTAGCATTCTGGGTATAAGCATTGATGTTTGTGTTTATCAAAGAACTACACAGTCTGTGCTTATCTGAATTAAGAGGTTATACAAAACTCTTTTACTTATATGTTGTAGTAGATATTAATGTCCTTGGAAAACTTTTATTGCCCAAGTGAAAACTGTTGCAGAGAATTTTTTAATGAATTAAAAAAATTAAAAATTAAAGTTTTAAGTAGTTATCTATAACATGTCTAATATCTCTCTGAATAATAATTTTTTTGTGGTACATTTTTTTAATATTTGATTTTTTAAACTGTATGGCTATGATTCCATTTTACATATACAGTGATAATTTTTTATCCAAAATAAAGAAGGATCAGCATCTTCCAATGTAAGGAATTTTTTGCTTATGGAACTTGTTGGCAAAAAAATTAATAATAATTAGACAGGTCATATAGCTATTTTTATACAAAGCCTCAATAGATTTGATCCTCAAACAAATAGTGTAAATAAAAATATTTTTTCTTCTACCAAAAAAATATGAACATGCTACACATTCTCCAAATAGATCATGCTTAAAATAAATAAATTTAATTAAATAGACTGAAAAAAAATTGGATGAATATTACCATGTCCAATTTTATACTTTATATCATATCCACATTTCTTGAACAATTACTAGCCAAAGAAAAAATTATACTACCATATGTTGACCAAGTGACCACTGTCTCTGCCAAAATAAATACACTTAAAAAAAGAAAACGTCAAGGAGAAAATTAAGACATAAATCATCACTAACAATAACCAAAGATGTGAAAAAATTTCACTATCAGAATTTTTTGACCCAGAGACAGATTAAAAAATAAAATCATAGTTTCTTGCCAAATTGAGGCCATCAAGGAAACTATCATATTTTTTATGGTTTATCAAAATAAGAATATTTTTTTTAGCAAAATATGATATAGTACAAATAAAATGCCATTCATTTACTTAGTGATGGCTAAGTCAGTATGGAGATTCATTCAACACGTGTATACATACTGTACATACCAGTGTTTGTGCCGGTGTTGTATATCATTTAAGACATACAGTAATCCCTTGCCTTATGCAAATTTGTGATACATAATGCCCTGTTTGAATGATAGTACACTAGTTTATATGTCTAGGATATATTTTGGTCCAAATAATTTGGACTGATGAAGGTCCCAGGACTGAAATATGACCAATAAAGATATCCTAAGTATATGCACTTGTGTCCTGTCACCCATCTTTCAGTATCATCATACTGCACCTTCTACCTTCAATGCTAGGTTTCTGCCATTAATTCCCTATTAGCTATATAAATTTGCCTATGCAGTAAATGAGGTTTACAAGCCATAATGAAGCTTTCTGTAATTAAAAATTAAGTACTGAGCTGATTAAGATTACTACAGGGGTCATGGGCCTGAAACACATCTACTGTATAAAGCAAGGGACATAATAATAAATATAATGTACTCATCTAACTATTTATTATTCAGTATAATATTCTCTGATAAAAGTACTGAAACTATTTTTTTTTTTAACTCCTGAAATGTGCTACATTTTTGCATACATTCCATATACAGTATTCCATTTTATTCTAGGACATCTTTTAACCCCTTGACTGTCGCAACCCCAATTCCTGAGGTGTCTCCTGGTGTCGAAAAATTTTTGAAAAAAAAAAATTATTTTTTCTTGTGAAATGATACAGAATCTTTTCCCAATGGTAATGACACCAAAAGAATGAAATTTGTTGGAAAACTTAGGGAATTATGCTCTCGCAAAGTTAGCGACCTTGGCGATATTTACGAATCGGCGATTTTGCACACTTTGAGCCCTATATTCAACTAATTCCATTGTTCCAGTCAACCAAACTCATAGCTGTTTCTTTGGAACTCCATTTGTTCTATTGATTGAGTACAAGAAACTCTATCGTAGGGGTTCTTAAATGGAGATATCGAGGGTTGAAGGTAGACACACTGGTTGGATGGTAACGATATATTGTCAGACTGTGATGATGGGAGATGGAGCCCAGCCTCAGCCTGTCCTAGCCTATGTCAAACGCCGACTGAGACCGAGGTAGCTCGCCTGACACTCAAGCTGCATCCCGTGACGTCACACAAACAGTCACAGGCCTAGGGATCTCCTATCTAAAGCACATGGATGATACTGATATGCTATACCACACAGGGATCAGCAACTATGCTGACAACTGCCCATTTACTGATTTCAACTACCCAAGAACGTGGTCAGAAATTTGCAATCTGGCCAATTTCACGCAAATTAAAAATATGCCAATTTCAAAACAGGGTCCAGAATGAACAATGCAGACATTCCTGGCTCTAAAATAACATTTTCTTTGTTCATCAGTCATGTCTCCAGGCCCCTCTGATATTACTCTTGCTTTCTATTTTGAATTTTTATTCAAACAAAAAATAGAAGATTTATTGTTATGCAGACTACTGCAATATTGTAATACTAATTGTATAAATAATGTCAATGCATTCATGACTGCTTATTAGAATGGCTAGTTGGACGTTTATTAGACAATGACATCATTTGTTTACTTTTGAACAACAGCAAAAATCAAACATTTCCCCTAATTTGAGCTCCATTTCAAGGTTCTTTTAACAGTAAAACCAATCAAAATCACCTCTATTTCTATAATATGTTTTCCATTCTATCAAATGAGACCAAGAAAACGAGAATACAACCATAAATACTATACGAAAATACACCCATTCTCTCACATGTGGGCCTACCAGCTTTCTCCCGCTTGATTTGAAGCCGCTAGAATTTTTCAGTATACTGTATATACGTCAAACACGGTGGCTCATAAGACGTATATATACGACCAAAACAGTCAAAGGGTTAAAATGTCTGCCTTTCCAATATTTTCTTACTATTATGATCATGAAACAGCAGTAACTGTCTTTTATTTCAGTAAGTTACCTGTAGTCAAATTTCACACAATCTCTCTTTAAAATCACCAAATGTACGACTTTTTTGTGATGGTTGATAATAAAAATTGTATGTTTTTTCCTGAGAGTTTCATAACATCCTTGCAGGATTAATTGATAATTAGTAGCTAATAAATATACCTGTAGATTTGTGAGCAAGGTAACATTGATGAAGGGATTCAGGGAAACCAGTTAGCCGGAAGTGGGAAGTACAGTGTCGCACTCCGAAGGAGAGGTGGAGATATGTTACAGTTTCTGAACTGCAGTATTGGCATGGCTCTGGCAAGACAGTGATGGAGTGAGTGATGAAAGTGTTTCTTCTTTTTTGGGTCACCCTGCACTCAGTGAAAATGGCCAATGTGTTAAAAAAAATATGTACCACATTACCATACAGCTTTAAATAGTTTTATCAAGAACTTAGGAAATACACAACATCAATGTTTGGTCATCTGACCCTTTGCTCTCAAGTTTTTAATCCTTTCTTTTCTGTACATGATCAGCAGCAAACTTTTTTTTTGCATTTGTCTAAAGATTTTTTTGTGAAGATTCCAAGATTGAGGTATAAAATCTCAGTAGTTAATATGGGTTATATAAAAAAAGTATCCCCAATCAAAAAACATACTCCACTGGTAGGTTTTGGAAGTGTTCTGGAGGAGTTTGAGGATTCTGTGAGAGTATGGCAGATAAGTTCCTAGGTCAGTTCCTGATCAGCTGATCTATGGTTCATACGTTCAACTGTGTGCATTCTGCAATAATAGCCTGGTTGATCAGGCCTTGGTCCATCAAGAAGTCTGATCTGGAACCGGGTTGCAGGGGCATCATCATCATCCACCCCCCCATACCCCCAAAAGTGTCCTTTAGGCATCCTTCAGGGTGAGAGAAAAATCTGGGAGAGGAACAGAAGAGGTGTGAGAGGGATTTGGATGTTTTGGAGAGTGGGGTGGGTGTAAGAGGGAGGGGTTTGGAAAAGCATTGGAGAGTGGGAGAGGTTTTGGAAAATGGGACGCAGGGCCGGATTTAAGGAGTAGCAAAAGGTACCTACCAGACATGGTAAGTTTATTTAGGTACAAGTACACATAAATACAGTTACACAAATTATCATACATGTGTAACATATGTGTAAATTACCTAGGGTAACTCTCAAAAAAAAGTCAGGCAGAGTGACTTATTTTCATTGGGGTCCTTACAATATATTATTTAAACCTTAAAAGTTAAAACAGCTAAGTAACTCAACTGTGTGAAAATCAATTGCAATAAAAGGAGATATACTAGGAATAAGATTAAATGAGTTATTTGCATTAACACTAAAGAGAGGATCAGCTTACAATAATAGGTATGTACATGAATGTTTGCTATACAAGGGACCTGCAGTGCTGTGTGACTGGTGGTTTAGCGATAGCTTTGATTATTATAATAATATACAAGGGACCCCTACGAAAAAAATAGTTTGTACTACTAGGAAAAATATGAACTTATAATGGAGAATTAAAAAGCATTATGATATAAATCCTCTTATGGTTAATTGAAGTAAAAAAAAAAAAATTTATTAACAGTTTAAACTGAAAACCGATTTATGTGCCACACACAATATTTGTGTTTTAACTAGGTAGTAGGTTGGTAGACAGCAACCACCCAGGGAAGTACTACCGTCCTGCCAGATGACTGTGAAACAAAAACCTGTAACTGTTTTGCATGATGGTAGGATTGCTGGTTTCTTTTTCTGTCTCATAAACACGCTAAGATAACAGGGATATCTTGCTACTCCTACTTACACTTTGGTCACACTTCACAGACACGCACATGCATATATATATATATACATACATCTAGATTTTTCTCCTTTTTCTAAATAGCTCTTGTTCTTTTTTATTTCTTCTATTGTCCATGGGGAAGTGGAAAAGAATCTTTCCTCCGTAAGCCACGCGTGTCGTATGAGGCGACTAAAATGCCGGGAGCAATGGGCTAGTAACCCCTTCTCCTGTATACAATTACTAAAAAAGAGAAGAAGAAAAACTTTATAAAACTGGGTTGCTTAAATGTGCGTGGATGTAGTGCGGATGACAAGAAACAGATGATTGCTGATGTTATGAATGAAAAGAAGTTGGATGTCCTGGCCCTAAGCGAAACAAAGCTGAAGGGGGTAGGAGAGTTTCAGTGGGGGAAATAAATGGGATTAAATCTGGAGTATCTGAGAGAGTTAGAGCAAAGGAAGGGGTAGCAGTAATGTTAAATGATCAGTTATGGAAGGAGAAAAGAGAATATGAATGTGTAAATTCAAGAATTATGTGGATTAAAGTAAAGGTTGGATGCGAGAAGTGGGTCATAATAAGCGTGTATGCACCTGGAGAAGAGAGGAATGCAGAGGAGAGAGAGAGATTTTGGGAGATGTTAAGTGAATGTATAGGAGCCTTTGAACCAAGTGAGAGAGTAATTGTGGTAGGGGACTTGAATGCTAAAGTAGGAGAAACTTTTAGAGAGGGTGTGGTAGGTAAGTTTGGGGTGCCAGGTGTAAATGATAATGGGAGCCCTTTGATTGAACTTTGTATAGAAAGGGGTTTAGTTATAGGTAATACATATTTTAAGAAAAAGAGGATAAATAAGTATACACGATATGATGTAGGGCGAAATGACAGTAGTTTGTTGGATTATGTATTGGTAGATAAAAGACTGTTGAGTAGACTTCAGGATGTACATGTTTATAGAGGGGCCACAGATATATCAGATCACTTTCTAGTTGTAGCTACACTGAGAGTAAAAGGTAGATGGGATACAAGGAGAATAGAAGCATCAGGGAAGAGAGAGGTGAAGGTTTATAAACTAAAAGAGGAGGCAGTTAGGGTAAGATATAAACAGCTATTGGAGGATAGATGGGCTAATGAGAGCATAGGCAATGGGTCGAAGAGGTATGGGGTAGGTTTAAAAATGTAGTGTTAGAGTGTTCAGCAGAAGTTTGTGGTTACAGGAAAGTGGGTGCAGGAGGGAAGAGGAGCGATTGGTGGAATGATGATGTAAAGAGAGTAGTAAGGGAGAAAAAGTTAGCATATGAGAAGTTTTTTACAAAGTAGAAGTGATGCAAGGAGGGAAGAGTATATGGAGAAAAAGAGAGAAGTTAAGAGTGTGGTGAAGCAATGTAAAAAGAGAGCAAATGAGAGAGTGGGTGAGATGTTATCAACAAATTTTGTTGAAAATAAGAAAAAGTTTTGGAGTGAGATTAACAAGTTAAGAAAGCCTAGAGAACAAATGGATTTGTCAGTTAAAAATAGGAGAGGAGAGTTATTAAATGGAGAGTTAGAGGTATTGGGAAGATGGAAGGAATATTTTGAGGAATTGTTAAATGTTGATGAAGATAGGGAAGCTGTGATTTCGTGTATAGGGCAAGGAGGAATAACATCTTGTAGGAGTGAGGAAGAGCCAGTTGTGAGTGTGGGGGAAGTTCGTGGGCAGTAGGTAAAATGAAAGGGGGTAAGGCAGCCGGGATTGATGGGATAAAGATAGAAATGTTAAAAGCAGGTGGGGATATAGTTTTGGAGTGGTTGGTGCAATTATTTAATAAATGTATGGAAGAGGGTAAGGTAACCTAGGGATTGGCAGAGAGCATGCATAGTTCCTTTGTATAAAGGCAAAGGGGATAAAAGAGAGTGCAAAAATTATAGGGGGATAAGTCTGTTGAGTGTACCTGGTAAAGTGTATGGTAGAGTTATAATTGAAAGAATTAAGAGTAAGACGGAGAATAGGATAGCAGATGAACAAGGAGGCTTTAGGAAAGGTAGGGGTGTGTGTGGACCAGGTGTTTACAGTGAAACATATAAGTGAACAGTATTTAGATAAGGCTAAAGAGGTCTTTGTGGCATTTATGGATTTGGAAAAGGCGTATGACAGGGTGGATAGGGGGGCAATGTGGCAGATGTTGCAAGTGTATGGTGTAGGAGGTAGGTTACTGAAAGCAGTGAAGAGTTTTTACGAGGATAGTGAGGCTCAAGTTAGAGTATGTAGGAAAGAGGGAAATTTTTTCCCGTAAAAGTAGGCCTTAGACAAGGATGTGTGATGTCACCTTTGGTTTGTTTTAATATATTTATAGATGGGGTTGTAAGAGAAGTAAATGCGAGGGTCTTGGCAAGAGGCGTGGAGTTAAAAGATAAAGAATCACACACAAATGGGAGTTGTCACAGCTGCTCTTTGCTGATGACACTGTGCTCTTGGGAGATTCTGAAGAGAAGTTGCAGAGATTGGTGATGAATTTGGTAGGGTGTGCAAAAGAAGAAAATTAAAGGTGAATACAGGAAAGAGTAAGGTTATGAGGATAACAAAAAGATTAGGTGATGAAAGATTGAATATCAGATTGGAGGGAGAGAGTATGGAGGAGTGAACGTATTCAGATATTTGGGAGTGGACGTGTCAGCGGATGGGTCTATGAAAGATGAGGTGAATCATAGAATTGATGAGGGAAAAGAGTGAGTGGTGCACTTAGGAGTCTGTGGAGACAAAGAACTTTGTCCTTGGAGGCAAAGAGGGGAATGTATGAGAGTATAGTTTTACCAACGCTCTTATATGGGTGTGAAGCGTGGGTGATGAATGTTGCAGCGAGGAGAAGGCTGGAGGCAGTGGAGATGTCATGTCTGAGGGCAATGTGTGGTGTGAATATAATGCAGAGAATTCGTAGTTTGGAAGTTAGGAGGAGGTGCGGGATTACCAAAACTGTTGTCCAGAGGGCTGAGGAAGGGTTGTTGAGGTGGTTCGGACATGTAGAGAGAATGGAGCGAAACAGAATGACTTCAAGAGTGTATCAGTCTGTAGTGGAAGGAAGGCGGGGTAGGGGTCGGCCTAGGAAGGGTTGGAGGGAGGGGGTAAAGGAGGTTTTGTGTGCGAGGGGCTTGGACTTCCAGCAGGCATGCGTGAGCGTGTTTGATAGGAGTGAATGAGGACAAATGGTTTTTAATACTTGACGTGCTGTTGGAGTGTGAGCAAAGTAACATTTATGAAGGGATTCAGGGAAACCGGCAGGCCGGACTTGAGTCCTGGAGATGGGAAGTACAGTGCCTGCACTCTGAAGGAGGGGTGTTAATGTTGCAGTTTAAAAACTG